GGGAGGTTTGACGTTCATGACCTGATTGATGTCCAGGGGTAGGGATCTTGCTGTCTGAACATCGATGATCGAACCATGTTGACCTATTCTGTGCCGTAACTGCAGTTGTGTAAACCACCACTGTCTTGTGCACTTTCCTCCAGTCATGCTATTTATAGCACTTCATAAGTTTATACGTACCATACACAAGATAGTTTTGGTTCCTAGAACATATAAGTTCATTTAACTTGATATATAAGGCCAGCCTAATTAATTACACCAATTGAACTCAGGTCTTGTATCTTGTCAAGGTCATTTTTCAGAATTGCGCTTTATTTTCACTGCACAGTGCACTCCAGAAAGGTGTCCGGATTCATGACAAATTGTGATGAAGAATGTTACAGAGTTGCGCTTTATTTGCTCCTGCGTTGTGGCTAATTCTTGACACGCACGTAATTCTTGTTCTAGTTGGTCTTTGTCCCTCTCTCTTTCTTTCTTTTTTCTTCTTCTTTTCTTTCCTTTTTTTTTTTCAGTGTGACGGTACTATGACCGTTTCTCGATTTAGGTGTGTCGTCTTTTTGTAGGGGGCATGCTAATCTTTTTTTGTATTGCTCAAAATTTCATGGATGTCCCGAAGGACAGACTCATGTAATTGTTAGTAAACGGGGTTTTGTGTTTAAACTTTAAAGTTTAAACTTCAAATCATGATGTTAGTCAACGGGGTTTGGGTTCAAACTTCAAATCGTGATGGATCTAAAAATATAAGGTGCTTCTCGTTTCTTTGAAAAAGAAAATTCTTAAAATAAAAAAAAAAGATTTCCTTAATAATGCTTTTGGGTATGGCATCCATACCTCAGTTTCAGCACTTGGTGGTTTCTTCTTCGTATGATTTGGGACGCTGGGCCCAGTTTCCTGCAGGTGTAGCTCCCAAGCAATAGATCAGACTCATCAGAGTTATCAGACTCATTAGAGTGTCTCTGTGTTTTGCTTTCCAAGAAAAAAAAGGGGAGAAGGAAAGGGGAGAAGGGAGTCTGTGGTTGTTGGAGGTCGAGCCTTTTTTGAGTGAGTTGTGTCATCGGCAGCGGATTTATCGTTGAGGTTTTGATGTGTGAACTGTGTTAATTTCTTGTGAAGGCTGCGAGGAAGACCCCAACTCAAGTCACATTTGGATGTCTTCTGAATGCCTGCCTGGAGCTGAGTGATGTCCAGCGAGCATTTGAGGTGTACGAAGAGATGCTGAAGATGGGGGTTCAGCCAAATGATGGATGCCATAACATCCTGATAAGGGTATGTATGTATGTATGTATATATGTATGTATGTATGTATATATGTATGTATGAATGTATGTATGTATGTATGTATGTATCATCTTTTTCCTACCCCCCCCTCTCTTTTAGTACCCACCATGCTGTGCCATGTATGTAGTACTGTATACAGTGTATGCCCTTCGCTATCTCTATTTTATGTTGTATCTATCTTCTTCTTTTCTTTCCTAGAGAGGGAAGAAGAGGATAGATACGACATCTTATAGACATAGCACGCTCACACCATAGACGTAGTTTACATCTCTCTGTGTGTGCCCTTTGCCATGTTTACACTATGTTCTATCTATCATCTTCTTCCGGTCCCTAGGGGCCAGTATGTTGATGTCATAGCTTACATCTGTGTCTTCCCAGTGCTATATGTATGCTATATGTGTATGCGATGTGTATGCTATGTGTATGCTATGTGTATGCTATGTGTATGCTCTGTGTATGCTCTGTGTATGCTATGTGTAGGTTCGTATGCTATGTGTATGA